CGGGAGTTGCAGCGGGGACGGGTGGCACGAACAACGGTTATTGGTGGTCGCAGCGGCCGGCGCTTTCAGACCGCTCTGCCCGAGGCTGTTCAACGGGAAGCCTCGGTCCGCTTCGGAGGGGTGGGTGCTCCCGGGAAAGCCCGACGGCCTGGGCCCAGGGGCACTGACCCCGTCACCTTGCGCTGAACGACGGCTCTGCCAGAAGGACAGACGCCAGAGAACGCTCTAAACCCGTATTTACGAAGTCCAAGCACAAGCAACGCTTCCGCACCTCATCGCCGCGTCTGCTTTGGGTTCTGAACAGCACAACAGTAAACGTGCGGATGTTTTCCTTTTTTACATACATAGTTGTGCCACTACTCCTTAACGAGGCACAGTACTTCTACCTTAAAGTGTATAATAAAAAAAGTTGCATTTTCTTGGCTACACAAAACGCATCTTTCGCACGCAATTTGCGCAGCTTGGGCGCGCACCCTCAACTAAAACACAGTGTAATGCGCTGAGGTGAGGAACGCGCCCGCTGGGAGGGGGGGAAGCTCACGTGCAAATTCAACTAATACCTTCTTCGTCATTCACGGCCTACCATGCATGAATTCTAGTTTATTACTATTAGTTCTGACACTGTTCTTTTTCCAGAAGCTTTTTATTAATGTAGTCCATCCGTTCAGAGTTTTTGGCCATACCTGGAAAGTTGCTTCCCCTGAGAACACGCTCCCCTAAGGCAAGCAGGATCTTGGATATCGAGAATGGTTATGAAGAACTTTCTTTTATTCAATTTTAGTTTTCAGTCCATTTACTAAATTTTACAAATTAATCCAGCAGATACGTATGCCTCCTCAACTGTGTTTATTCTGTGTCATGTAGCATTCTCTAAGTTATGACTGTGCTCTTCAACTACTCTCTAAGCAAACAAAGGATTTATTAGTTACTGGTTTAATGCTTGTAATATATAACCCAAGTTTGGGGGCTTTATTTTAAGGCTATGAGATAAGTAACTATATTGAATATGTACTTGCATAAGCAAGCACCAGCTTCAAAGTGAGAAGACCGCTGGATCTGCAGAATGAGTTTTCATTCAGATGCGAGTTTAGAAATTTCACAATTGAAAACTTCACCACTAAATGACAAAGTATCACAAACAGAAGAGGGTGAGTATGCATAAATATGATTTTTTTTTTTTTTTTCAATAACTTCTATCTTTGAGGTCATGCCATAGTCCCTTAGAGGCTTACACATTTCATCCCCATCAGTAAAACTGGAAGTAACTCTGAATAGAAGGCTAAATAAGGCATACAGAAGGCATGTGAGCCTTTCTTTTTTTGGGGGATATGAATGAAAAACTACAAGAATAAACTTATTTTTGAGGGAAAAACTGACAATTTCATATGATGAAGACAAAGTTGGAATTAATTTCTGTTTGTTGCTGGCTAATATTTTGCTTGAAAATATACTGAGGAAAGAATACAAAAGAATTTTTTTGTGAAAGTTGCACATCTAGAAGTTTACAGAAAGCTGGCTACAGATGGATGAAAACCAAAACAGGAGTTAGGATCCCAGATCCCAAAGACCACTTTGGAAATTTTAGCTTTTAACTTTAATAAAAATAGATGGGTAAGGAAAAAAATTAAACATGATATTTCTAAAACCAAATAAATCTAATAACTTATCATTAAT